TGGGGCGGGACCATCTAAACGCCAGAAGCAGACGAGCGGGGGAAGCAAGAAGGGAACGGGTTCTCGTGCGCGGCTGGACAACAACAAGAAGCTCGAGATTCTGAAGATGCTGGATCAGAAGGTGTCTCACGCACAGATTGCAGACCGCTTCAAGTGATCGCTTCGGTTTTTTGGGACCGTGAAGGCTGGCCGGCAGAAGGTGGAGACAGCAACTGCTGCAGGCTGCGTCAGCCAGAAAACTGCACGCAAAGGAGTTTTTCTGGAGGTGCGCTACATGCAGTGCTGTGACGTTGGGTTATTTCCCCCGCCATTGTTTTTGCCGGCCTTTTTTTTTCGAGCCTGGTTCGTTCGCTGCTGGATGTCCATTTTTTTTTCGTCTTTCTTTCTCCTTTGGTTTGTTGTCTTCTTTCGGCTTTTTTCTTTCCTTTTTTGTCTCTCGTTTTTCTTCTTTCTCCGCTTTCATCGTTCATTCGTTCCTCGTGCTCTCGCACACACCCTCTTTTCAATTTTAAACCAGTAAATTACTACAACACGGCAGCGCTTCTTGTCTGTACCTGCCGCATTTTTGTCCAAGTGTACTTCACACTAGCGCACAATTAGGAACAATACTCGAACGTGTGAGCTTAGTGTAACAGGGTACGCTTCGTCGGCCTGCCCGCGCCGCGCAGTGTAGGTTAGCATGCTTACGTTCGAAACTAACCCTTCGATCTTTTGCACTCTCTGCGTTGTTTACTCGTTTTTTGGCGGCAGGTGGATGAGATAGCTCTTGATCTACTCGACAAAGCCCGGAAGGCCAAGATGCCCGTCACACGCGATGTCCTTCGAAGGTTCGGCCGTTCTGCCAGGGCAACCCTGCTGGCTGACACCGCAACTTCTGCAGCAGTGAGGGAGAGGGTGGAGGACTTGAAGGCCGGCGAGAGGTGGGCGAAGAACTTCGTGAAGCGCAACAAGATCCAGAGTGTGAGACTTCATGGCGAGGCTGGTATCGTCGACAAGGAGGCCATCAAGTAGGGCATGGAGGAAATCAGGGCCCTTTGCGATAAGTACTCGGCTAGGTTCATCTTCAACGTCGACGAGACAGGCCTCCAGTGGAAGCTCATGCCCAGGCGCGCGTACCTCTCCACCTCGGAGGATCGGAAGACGGCGCGGGCCTCAAAGAGCATGCGNGCCGGCGAGAGGTGGGCGAAGAACTTCGTGAAGCGCAACAAGATCCAGAGTGTGAGACTTCATGGCGAGGCTGGTATCGTCGACAAGGAGGCCATCAAGTAGGGCATGGAGGAAATCAGGGCCCTTTGCGATAAGTACTCGGCTAGGTTCATCTTCAACGTCGACGAGACAGGCCTCCAGTGGAAGCTCATGCCCAGGCGCACGTACCTTTCCACCTCGGAGGATCGGAAGACGGCGCGGGGCTCAAAGAGCATGCACTTCAAGGACCGACTGTCTGCCATCATGTGCTGCAATGCCGACGGCACTGCGAAGGTTGACATGGCCATCATCGGGAGGGCAAAGGAACCACGCTGCTTCGAGAACGGGGGTTCACCTCTGAAGTACTTCTCGCAGGCCAACGCGTGGTCCGACTCCGCGACGTTCCTCACGTGGTGGCTTGTAGTCTTCCTCCCGTTCGTTCGGCGCTTCACTCACAAACCTGTGCTGCTGCTGATGGACGGCTGTTCGTCTCACAGTGATCTAGTGGATGATCGCGGGCAAGTTACCGTCAAGACCTACCCTCCGCTGTGCACCGCCGTACACCAACCCATGGATTTGGGGGTCATCGCCAAGACGAAGGTCAACTACAGGAAGGAGCTGCTCGATGTGAAGACATCAACCATGTTGGTGGCTGACACACTTCGCGCCCAGGCCAAAGCCCGCAAGATGAAGGCCGGGACAATGGGGCTAGCGCAAGGGCACCAACCTCACGTGCGGGACGCCGCTGAACTTCTCCAGAAAGCATGGGCCAGCGTCACCGCCCAAGACATCGCCAGGTGAGGTTTGAACATGTGATATCGCTGTTTTAAATGTGTAGCTCGCGCAAGTGCGCATGGCTTTGGTGGTACGTTACGTGGGTAAGGTTGTACGGATAGGTTTTATTTTTCGACTGAATATTCCCGCAACCGCAAATCTCCTTGTTTCTTTGCTAAAAAAAGGCCCTCTCTCGCATCCCTATGAGTCATTGTTTATCACTGGGTTCGTCTAACATCGCTTCTCCACCCACACACGGGTGCATCACAATTTCTGCGCTACCTGGCCAGGTGCTTTGTCAAAGCCGAGACGCTTCCGGAGGAGATGGCGGCTGAGCTCACCAAGCAACACGGAAAGACCCGGTTCAACGTCGCCAAGCCTGACCTGAAGGCTCTCGCAGAGACTGTCAAAACGTTGAGCACGAGCGTGAAGGACGCGCAGAAGCAGGGATCCCGCGTCGTGGACGAGGAGATCAGCGAACTGTTGGCAGAACTCAACATCGAACCCAGAAAGCCGGTCGCGGGGGAAGCGGTGGCCGCGATTCAGGGGTGGGCTACCATCGAGGACGACGAGGAGGCGGTAGAGGCTCTTCGATTGGACGCGGTGGAAGACATGACAGCACTGCTGGCTGGAACGAACTTGTCTACCGGCGGCGGCGACGAGGAGGTCGAACAGGAGCAGGGCGGCGGCGGTGAGAACACGGGGCGCGAGCGCCGTGCCCCACGTGCGCCACCGGGTTATGAAGAACTGTCGCCTCACTTCGGCGCCCTGGAAGTGGCAGCAGAGGACAGTGGCAACGGAGGCGCGGCGTTCTACCTAACGAAAGCGAAGATGTCGATGATCGCAGCGCATTCCGCTAGGCGGGTGCGCCAGACAGACATTAGAGGATTTGTCGCGACGTAGAGTTCATGGTTGCTTCTTTTTCTTGCGGTTCGCTTCCTGTCGTGTACTTGTAGGTATTTTTTCTTTTTCTTGCAACATCGAAGCGGGTACGCCAGGCAGACACTCCAGTGTCGCGACGTAGTTTGGGGGGGGGGTACAACTGCAGTACAGTAGTATTGATTTTTTTTTTCTTGCAGTGCGCTTCCTGTCGTGTTTCTTTTTCTGTTTTGTCTTTTGTATCTTGCAACATCGAAGGAGGGGCTCTAGGGCTGAGAGATAGCTACGTCCACTCTGTACGAACGGGAGCTTAACAAGCATCTTGCCGTCAACAGCAGTTTCGACAGTTCAGGGTGTGCAGTACAGTTCATGTGCTGAGGCAGGCAGAAAATAACGGTGCAACATGCAAGTAAATATTTTTTACAACTCGCCCTCTGTGTGTGCGACAGGGGGGAACCATACTTGTCCCGAGAAAGGATGCCTACGCCCACGATAGACCTTCACTAAGTTTGATCCATTTCGTACTCAGTTAGCCCCGCAACGCATGAGCGCCACAGCATGAAATCAAACATTTCCTCAATAGTGCCGGACCGGCACTATTGAGGGATATTCGAAACCTCAATAGTGCCGAAGCGGCACTATTGAGGCACTATTCTGATTAGTGCCGGTGCCCTCAATAGTGCCAATATTATCTCTGGGGACATACCGGCATTATAGCGGGCCCAGTACTGTATCAAATTGTACTTTTCAGGGCGTCGGCATATGAGATTTCATCCTGCGAATTAGACTTCACCTCTGACCACGGAAGGCGTCCGCCCAGTTCGACCAGAATGGACCGGAGAGGTTGTCGATGCCATGATACATGTGCACACACACTACCGTTACCACCAAAACACACCAACAAAAACATCAAATGACGCTGTGCTGCGAATGCCTTGCGATTCTTTCCATACGTTTCAAAGAACTTACGGTAGTTTTGGTGAGAGGACGGGCACCTGCATGGACGAACCCCCAAACCCAACACACCTCAGACGTCACCAACTCGGTATCGTGGTAGATATATCCTGACAGTACTCTTGTCGTTTTTGGGATAGCACGTGGCCGGATCCTGGTACAGCAGAGCGGATTTGGTGCTGCTCGCAAACTGGTTGCTGGGGGAACTCCCAAGCACACCCAGCAGCGTAGGGGAAGACGTACGCATGCACAACCTCGCGCGCGCTCGCTTCCATTCGTGTATGCAGCAAACAAGTTAAGGAAAAGAAGAGAAACGGGGTTTCACAGCTCGGTGCGAAGATGGGGTGCCGGTTGCGAACGTGTGTTTAGACCACTTGCTTCTGGTATTCATCCCGCGGATGCCAACTCGACGTCCCGGTGAATTCTCATAGCGGCTAACGAGCACACGAGGAATATGGCTAGAACTCCCCCTCTTCCCCCTCGGTGTTTGCCATCGGGGTTGGGTTTTCGTCGCTTGGCAACGACGTTGTAAAACAAGCCAATTCACTTCGTGAACTCGGCAACCAAGTTACCGTTCTTTTTTTACCTCCGTTTATTTTTTTGGCA